TACTTTTATTGATTAATAGAAATTTAACAATCTGGGGTGTTTTTCATTCTAATTTTGAACAGACTGCGTTAAATTTCCGAAATACGATCGTTCTTCGTTTGGGTAGGTAGACCGCAGAACTTTTAGTCCTATTCAATCCAGGTTGGAAAGTGACCCCCCCCAAAAAGTCCATTGCTTGCTTTAAGGCGAACTGTAACGGTTGCAATATTCGAGATTTTGCAGAGAAGGGAAGAACCCCCAACTTCCGTACTGTATAATGCATTGGCAAAGGAAAAAAAAAAAAAAAAAAGAAATTATTTTGACTATTCGATTACTTTCACTTTAATTATGCCATTCCGAATATAATTCCTTAGGAAGCTAATCTGTGTTAAAACACACTTACCCATTTTTGAAGTTTATCTATACTTTAGCAGTTACTGCAAATATATTATTATAAATATTCATACATATGCTCATAATATAAGCATACCGATCATAACAAACGCGAATATGAACTGACCACGTGGAACGAGAATGTAAATTATTAAAATCTTGATAGAAATTCAAACGTGCGTAATATTGGATGGGAGCAGGAGAATAAGAATGTACTGGAATTTTCTACCGCTTTCACAATTCTTTGACCAATAGAACGACCATTTATCTGTACTCGCGCGCACCAAAGGTTATGTTAATGTAGAGAAAGGGGCAAAAAGCTATTTTTGGGAGTATGATTCACCATCTGATGTTCCATATAAGGAAGAAAATGTGTTTATTTAGTTTCAGCTTTTGATACAGGGCAAAAAATGTACGTTCCTAAAAAAAAGGGGGGCGCATTAAAAGCCCCCCCAAAAAAAGCACTACAAGCAAAAAAAAAAAAAAAAAAAAAAAAAAAAACATGGTTTAGAGAAAAAGTAAGCACCTATAAGGGCTTTTATATTTTATTTTCAAATATAAGGACTTATAAGCACTTGTAAGGACCACTACGAACCCTGTGAAGATTGGAAGGAATGTTTGCTAATGAAAGCCTGTGGATCTTGAGCTGCTGTCGGTCACGCAAAATATAAAGCCAACAAATATGAAAAGGAAGATGATGATGTGCTTGTTGTTGTTACAATAACATTTTCTATATTGGTTGTGTCCGTTGTTAGCAGTACCGAATTGCCTAATATGTGTTTGATATTTTAGCTTCAAATGTTTTTTAAGTGCTGGCCTCTTCTTGTGTTTGCACAGTAACTGTCATGGGAGAAGATGCTGGTTTTGAAAATCCAGAATACATATCCATGACTTTTTAGCAATGTTTAGCAGAATCCTTCATTAGTTTTTGTCTCTTTTCTTGAAGTTTCTGTGCACCTCTATCGATTTTTTTATTTATCTATTCCACATACCTAAAAAGTAATGAAAAAAATTCAACTGCAATATTTTTTGTCATCAACTTACATTATTGAATGACACAGTAAAATTCACTAGAGAGTCTTTTAGTTGGTTATAAAGCAATATTTTCAATTTCACAATTAAATTAGAATGTGACTGTACTGTATTTTCATAAATCTACTTTATGACTGTCGACCACAGGCTCTAATTCTACCCTACCCTACAGCTACCATACCTCATGCGAGTTTGAGTAGGATATGCGTTCTGAACATCCATGTCTTGGCGAGTCATTCGAGTCAATTCAATCGCTCGAGTTTCTTGATCGGCCAGAAATCACTCCAGCTGACCAGGCTTGCCCGGTCGCCCGTCAGCCCTATCTGCCACTGCACTGGTGCTTATTGTTCATCTTAAAAGAGAAACCTTTTTTGTTACGTAAAATGAAAATTTATTTCAACTTCTGCCAAATAACTTCATTCATATTACAGTTAGTTTAGTTATTAATTTTTTAGACTTATCAGTTTAACATGCAGGTAATATTGAAAGATATAAACATTTACAGATAACACTAAGTGAAATGTTTTCTGAAATAGAAAAAGAGCAAATGTAAGATAGAACTACTAACAATTGAAAGTTCACACAATGACCAAGAAAATGTGCTCAAAGACTCTTATTCTCATAATTTAATTAGACTTTCTAAACACTTGCATATTTATATCGAATGTATGAAAGTTTCTTTCCGTGTTTATATGACACTTTCTTTTATGTTATATGGCACTCTCTATGTTTATATAGAATATGTTACACTCTGACTGGTACAAAATAGCTTGCTTTACTGCTCAAGTTAACTTTCATTACATACGACAATCCGTGAAGCAAAATTTTACATTAACTGAGTAGATGCAATACCTACAAAATATTAAGAAATTATCAAATCTTGTTTTGTACTTATTATTTTTTTTTTTTACAAATGGCAGGCACTTGCCTATAACGGCATTGGCCACTACTAAGACCAGAAGCGGTTACCATTTTATAGTGAAGGCACCTAATAGGCGACCACTGTTACCTCCTATGAAGGGACAGACAATTTTACATCCATGCCTTCATCGGGATTCGAACCTGGGTCCTTTGGTATCGCAGTCAGGCTCACCTAACCACTATACCATCTGGGCGGCTCTTATTTCATATTCCCGTTTATAAGTTACATTTAAATACTGCAATTTCTGGAAGAAAGGCCGCATCATCGTAAACGCCACAGAGAAAAATAACAGGAAAAAAATAAAACTGCGCAGAAATACTGCAGCAGCAAAAACGCCGCAAAAAGTTAAATTGCATATGACATCATCATGAATATTATAGACACAAAATCTTGACCTCTATCCTGATACATGACATATCAGTTAAGAAAAACACATGAAATGAAACCATGACTCAAATATAATTTATAGATAAGAAATGTTGAAAATATACTTATGTTCACGAATGTACTATTTACCCACTAAAGAAATAAATATTCGTAATATACCCACTAAAGAAATAAATATTCGTAATACTCATACTGCATTATAAAAAATATCAAAACAATGAGATATAAAATTTGAATGACAGAAGAAATTTTTAAATTATACTTTTGCTTACAAAAAGAATTATAGAAAACTCTATGAAGCCATCAAAATCTTATTCTTCACTATCTGAATTAAAAAGATTAAATAAATCCTGATCTAAATAGTACAAATCTTCCAGATCGTCACATTTACCCTCTTGGTTTACAGGCTCTTTATCTGAGGATATAATTTCAGCTTCTTTGAACACCCCCATTATTGACGATGTTTTTACTAATTCCCACACACTTCCTACCCACTTTGTAACCCTGCAACTTTTTCATTAGATGTTCCATGTATTTAACCGCTTTTGGTATACGTATACGTGTATACTTCACTCATTCGATAATCCCACCACTTTCGGACCTTAGCTTTGAAAAATTTATTATCTGACAAATCTAATGGTTGCAAAATTTATATCAAGCAATCAGGAACTATTACTAAGGTCACAGAGAGATTTTTGACACCTTGTTTTCACTAACTCAGGTAAATGAGAACACATGGAATCCACTATAAACAATCCTTCTTGTTGGAAAAGATTTCTTATGACACTAACAAACTTGTTGTAGCCACTCATGCATGATTGCTTCGCAAATTTTCGTTTGAACAAATAATTATGTCATTGTCATTAGGAAAATCCCTTCAGAATAGTTTCCTTTTAAAAATTATCATCAGCTTTAGCTTGTCACCGTTTGGGGCACAAGCTAACACATATGTAAATGAAGCTCTTTTATGCCCTGACGTAAGCACGGATACAGATTTTGCACACGTTTCATCAACAATTCTGTTTGCAGGAGAGTCAAAAGCTAGAAGAGTTTCATCCATATTTATTATCTGTGATAGAAGAAGCTTTTTTTTTTTTTTTTCAATAATATCTGTCGCATATTTAAGAAAAGGTACTTTTTTATCCTCCCAGTTCATTGGTAACTGTTGCCTGACTTTTGCTCAAGTATGTACAGAAATATTTTTTTCTTTTCATAAGTCTGCTACACTAGCAAAGGCCCTCCTTTAAAGTCATTTATGTTCATTTGATTCACCATAGATTTTGCTTGTAAGTGAATTTTTACTGTCAAAATTGTCATTCCTTTTCCTCGTTCCTCCTTTATCCATTTTCTAGGTCGTCCTCTAGATTCTGCCATCTTACATTACACTTCTTTTGGCTCGTTTCTTTGTTGGCATGTTTTTAAGTTCTTGTTCAATTCACCAACGTTGAATGCAACTCTTGCCCACTTCAAACTCTCAGGCCACCATTCTATTTCCAATTTTTTCAGCATCGGAAATTACATTAAGCTTAAAAACCAGCAGTATAGCTTAGGGGGCCATTTTCAAAAATTTCTCACTTCCTTCTTACTTAAAAACTAACCAACAAGTACTTGTACCAGAACTGAAGGGACCTATATCGATTTGCAATGCAAGTGGAGTCATGTCCACATTAAAAAAAAAAAAAAAAAAAAAAAAAAAACAGTAGATTTAAAATGGAAAAGGCAGGGGAGGGGAGATGATGGGTCCTGGAAGATTCATCAAACAGCAAAGAAGATAGACTATACAAACTGATAAAAATTCTGAATTGAAAGAGGGAAGAATGTTATTGTTCTGAGATCTCATTTAGGGTGAATAAGGCTTATTATTTTTATTAGGGGGCTTATTATTTTTTGCAGGGAAAGAATGTAAACAAAATAAAGTTCGCTGAAAGCAACTGAGTGGTCTTTAGTATGGAAACAGCACCAAGGTCATCCGAACTATGTACAACGACATCTTAGCAAATATTTTTTTCAAGTGCACCTAAGTGGCGCAATGGTAAAAATGCCGCATCTGCTGAAAATTTAAGTTCTAAACACCTAAACGCTGAGGTGTTTCTTCTGGAAATTACGGTAATTAAAACTGTAATCATGCATGCAAATAATAAAACTAAATCATTTACTGAATTTTCACAGAAAAATATAAAAATAATTACTGCACTTATACAATGTAATTAACAGTTCTCCATAATAGAACCATTTAAACTACAGATAGGAAAATATGATACCAGTGGTGATAACAATAGAGGCTTACTTTTTCCTTTTCGTCAAGTATACTTCTATAAGAGATTCAAACCACTCAGGTGCACGATATCCATAACCAGGCATATCAACAAGACAAAATTTGTTTCCAACTTGGTAAAATTGGGCACTTTTAGTATGACCCTGTGTAATTAAAAACATAAAAATCTTTACAACTTACACCTATTTCTAATAAATTAATAAAATTGAGAATGAGACAAATCCAGAATTCACAGCAAACAACACTGGGTGATTCAAAAGGTTAAATTTTGAAAACAGATCTATAAAAATACAGTCAAAAGTCGTTAATTCGGATACCCATAATCCGGAATGATCTATAATCTGGACCTCAAAGCTACAAACTTTCTGCGCATGCACGTAAGACCTTTATGGCTGCTGATGCTAAAGCAAAGTTTAAAGTTTATAAAATTAAACATTTAGCAGTAGTAGCAATAAAAGCTCCCTGAGATATGTTGTGCAGATATTGAAGACAATAAAAAATTTTGAACTTAACCAATTTATTAACAATATAATAAATAATAAAAACACAGAAAATAAATTTCAACAATATCAGAGTCTTAGGAAAAATATAATATAACCATCATTCATCAAATAATATTTTTACCTGGTCTCCAAAACACTGGCATTCAATACAAATAAAATGTCCTAAACAATAATTATAAGCGGCCTCAAAATGAAGCTGGCTACACATTCAATAAGTCCATAATCAATGGTTGAGAAAACACCTGAAAAATTTAAATGAAGTTCTTGAAAGCACTCAAAACCGGCCTAACTCCGTTTGCACGAGGAATCGCTGCCAAGTGTTTTAAATTCCGCCTTCATTGAAGAACATGGATGCCGCCCACAGCAGTCACTCATATGGTAGCCTCTGGAACCAAGGAACTTTATTCTGGAACAATCATTTTATGGATATGAACGAAGGAACTTTTCCCGGAACAATCATCCCGCGGACAGGCACCAAAGAACTTTATTCAGGAACAGCCATCCCGCAAACCGGAACCAAGGCACTTTAATCACCGGACTGCGTGCATCCTTCTGAAGGGGCTGGAAACCGCTCACTCAAGTGCCAGGAAAGCAGGAACTAGAAGGGGACTAGCAGGGTTGAGCTATACTTTGATACTTTGATACAGAAGTATTTATACAGGGGGTCTACTACATTTGCAGTACTTCCCTGTAAACCTGATGTAACTCTACGATGGGCATGGTGATGAGAAACCTAAATAAGTCCCATGGAGGGAGCTGTGAGTGTGAGGAAAAGAAAAAGTAATATCAGTCAAGTGTGTCGCCATCTGGTGGCGGTGATGGTGGTTAAAAGAAATTCGCAGTCTGTGGGCGGAGAGCCGGGATCATGGGCTGGCGAATCAGAAGACAGCGCTGGTTGTTTGAAGCGAGACTCTTTGCAGTGGTCAGGTCGATCACGTGAGGTGGTCACCCTCTCGGAAACTGACTCTAGTGAATGCTGCTTAATTTGTGTGGAAATTTAACATGTTAATAGTATGGGCGGTGAAGGGTCTATTGTAGTAATCGTCCTCTATGATTTCGTAATTTAAAATGTTGGAGAAGTCTGCTGTACTATTATGGTTTGCTTTTTTGTAGAAGTTTTTGTTAAGCTTATTGATGTAGGTTGTCACATATTCAATTTTTAAATCTCGGTGCAGGTTTTTATTTCTGATGTAATATGGGGCTCCTGTGATGATTCTGAGAAACTTGTTCTGGATAATCTGCAGCTTTTTGAGATTGTTTTGTTTGGCATTTGCCCAGACTGGGGATGCATATGTTATGATGCGTCCTATGATTGCTGTGTATATTCTTCTCTTCCTATTGAGGCTCAGACGTGAAGATTCAGCCAGGAGGCGAAACAGTTTGCACATGATGCCGAAGATTTTCCCCCTGGTGATGTTGATGTACGTAGACCAGGTGAAAGTTCTATTGAAAGTAATTCCGAGATATTTGGCCCGAGTTACAATTGGGATTGGTGTGTCAAATAGGGTAACAGTAGTGGAAATGTTATCCAGGTGCTTGTAGCGCCGGATGAGCAGAATTTGGGATTTGTCAGCATTAATGTTGACTCTCCACTTCTTGCACCATTCCTCTACCTGGGTCATTTTCTTTTGGAGTTGGACGAGAGCGTTGTTAGGTTTCCTGGATTTTTGTATAAGTGCGGTGTCATCCGCGTAACAGGCAAGTTGAAAGTTGCAGTCTTCTGAGAAGGTAGGAAAGTCGTAGACGTAAATGATATAGATAATGGGTCCTAGGATACTACCCTGGGCGACCCCTCCTAGGATAGGATATGGATTAGTAAGATGATCACCCTGTCTAACTGAGAAAGTTCGATTTTCGAGGAATGACTTCAGGATGAGGACGAGTTCTCTCGGGATATGCAGTTGTATAAGCTTATAGATGAGGCCTTCATGCCAGACGCGGTCAAAAGCTTTGGCCACGTCTAGCATGAGGAAAGCAATACTTTGTTTATTTCTGAGTGCCGATCCTATGAATTCAGAAATACGAACCAGCTGATGGGTGGTCGAGAGTCCTTTCCTGAATCCATGCTGTTCTTTTGGGATGAAGTCAAGGTGATTTTGCAGTCTATTGTAAATAATTCGCTCGAAAATCTTTCCCAGCGTAGACAGGAGACTAATAGGTCGGTAGCTGGTAAGTTTGTCAGGTGGTTTCTTGGGTTTTGGAATTAGAAAGATCGAGGCGTGTTTCCATACATTTGGAAAGTAAGAGTTCGTGAGACAGGCGTTGTAGATAGATGTTAATTTGCAGATGACACCGTGCGGGAGCTGTTTAAGTAGTTTATTTGAGATTTGGTCAGGTCCAGGAGCTTTTCTATTATTTGAGTTTTTGATATTTTTCACTTCACCTGGGGTAGTGAGTTTGATCCCAGTTTGTTCCCATGGCGCGCTGAGCCAGTTTTTGACGTGGTCAGTAATGGCGGCAATGCTAGTTTGGTCTGCAGGGAAGTCGTTGGGCGTGAATTGCTGGGTCAGGTGATCGGCAAAAGCTGCTGCTTTTTCCTTCATTGGTGTACGCAATGTTAGATTGCGTTCTGATTGGAGGGGTGCTAATTGTAGGGTTTTTCCGTTTACGAATGTACTTCCAGAAGGAACCGTCTTCAAGATTTAAGTTTTCAATTTTTAAATTCCAGGATTCGTTTCGATGCTGCTGGATACTAGATTTAATTTTTCTGGTGAGTCTATTGATAATTGGTTTTAAGGTAGGATCCCAGGTGTGATTGTAAAGTTTTCGGGTTCTGTTCCGTTGCTTGATTAATTCTCTGATGTGCATGGGTAGGGCGCCGTAATGAGAGGAATGCATCTTTTCTGTAGTTGCTAGTGCAAGGAAATCCTGAAGAGAGTTCGTAAAAAGTTTTGCAGCATTCTCGATATCAGTTGTGGTTTTTAGAGGACCCAGGTTTATGGGGGATGTAATTGCAAGGTTGTGAAGTAATTTCCAGTCTACAATTTTCTCTTTCTTTGCATCTTTCGGCTTGTTGTAACCCAGTCTTGCCATTACAGGGACATGATCTGAGGTCAGCTCATGAGTAACTTCCATTGCAAGGGGTATGTTGAAATTAGTGAGGAAAAAATCAAGGATATCAGGTCTTTTGCGTGGAGTGTTTGGGCGGTATGTAGGTTCTTCGGGTGTGTATAGGAAGATGGGATAATTTTCTACGTAGTCTCTGATGGTGTGTCCGTTTGCGTTGCTGTGATTGCAGCCCCAGTCCACATGCTTTGAATTGAAGTCACCTCCAATGATTGTGGGAGCTGAGTCTTGCAGGTAATGATGTAAATCACTCGCAGATATTTTGTTGTCAGGTGGGTTGTAGAGTGCACAAATTTTTGTATGTCCGATTTTGGGTAAAACCACATTAACACTGACAGTTTCGAATGCTTTTGTATTATCCGCAGATAATAAGCCAGAGCAAAGAGTCCTTTTCACGTAGATGGCGACACCTCCGCCACGGTGTCTGATTCTATCGCATCGATAGGTGCTATAATTTGCGATATTGATGTTGTGCTTTGAATTTGCGTGCGTTTCAGTGACCAGGCAGATGTCCACTTCATGTCCTAATTAAAAAGTCCTGAAATTCTGGTATTTTTTTGTGTAATGTTCTGTGCATTCCACAGAGTAATCGTAATCGGAGCAAAACTTTGATGGGGATTAGTCATGATTTTTCTGGGGAGGCATGACTGATTTTTGCACTGCAGCAGCATTGAGCTGTGTAGTAGTGTCCTTTAAGATAGAGATAGCGGCCGTGAGGGTTGCTATCAATGATTTGGCCTCTTCTAGTTTTGCTGAGAGCTCGGCAATTTCAGGTGCTTGCCTGTTTTGAGGTGGCTGAGCACTATTCATGACAACTCTGTCCGAATACAACATTTTTCCTTGTGAATATTGCCGGGGTTTGGGGAAATAACTACATCCACGAAAGGACGCAGTGTGATTTAAACCACAATTTGCGCAGGTGGCTGGTTCATCTGATGGTTTGGTGCACGTTTTAGATTCGTGCCCCTGTCCGCACTTTACACACCGCGGAGGGAGGTGACACTGTGCTTGGGCATGGTGAAAATTTTGGCAGCGGTAACATTGAGTGGGGCCTCGTCTGCCTCTGTAAGTCTCGACTGAGACACGAAGTCTCATCAAGGTATTCAAGTTCATGAATCGTTCCTGGCTTTGTCACTTTTAGGCAGGATGACGAGGTATAGGGGCATCTTTTGGATTTCCGTGCCGCGCTTTCTCGTAAGCTGAACCACTTTATTTAATTGTGAACCCTAGGTTCACAAGGGCTTCTCCGACATCTGTTGGAGGAGTATATGAGGGAATGCTACGGATAACTACCTTTAGCATTTTTTCGTCCGGCAGCATATGCGTGTAGTACTTTGATTTCGTTTTTATCCAGTAAGGCAGTGATCTGCCTATGCATATCGCTACTGAATACTTTGATTTCGAAATCATAGTCGCTTTTCATTTTCGCTTTAAAGTCCAATTTTTCCTTTTCAAGGAGATCATTTAGCTTTTTCCAGGTGATGTTTGTGTCCTGGACCATAATCGGAGGAATTTTTGTATTTCTCCTGGGGTACTGGAAACCTTCCGTGTCTGCAGAACCACTTAGCACTT